AAGTTTGTTCGTCTTTTGATTAATATGTGTGTATTGCATGATTTTATGCATCTTACTGTGATAAGCAGCAAAGATCCTCGACCTGCATGTGCGAGCGCAGATGTAGAAAGGGTGCGTGCATCTCAGGGAGCGTGCGCACGCGTGTTCATGTGTGTGGGTATGCAGGTGAGCGTATATACAAGTGAACGTTACATGCGTGCATGAAATCGTACGTGTGTGTGTGTGTGTGTGTGCGTGCGTGCGTGCGTGCGTGCTAGTGTAACGAGGATGATGACGTTACCCGCTTAAATGTAGATCTGTTGTAGCGATGAATAATGATCGAAACTCCAAACTCCAAGCAGTTGTGTTCAGCAAATAGTATATTGTTTCTCAAACCAGATACGCTCGCACAGAGGCACGCAGACGCGTGCCTCGCGCACTCACGTCCGACCTCCCTCACAACCAAGAACCTTCCCTTTTAGTCCAGGCTAGAGGGCACAGGTGCTTGTTTTTCAACATATATAATGTTTTTATTTTGTTTCCTGTCAATGTTTATGTGCTGATTCCAAATCCGATGTATGCCAGCTCGTAAGTGTTGAGCATTTTTTTCTAATCCAACATGGCCACCAGAAAATACACTTTTTTGTAAATAACGGCGATAATATTGTATTTAGACCCCAAGTATGTATGGAACATGTATATAAACTTGGGTATTGCGAACATTTCGGTACTAATACCATTACTCTATCTGGTGTAGTTCTTGAGATATGAATTTTCTTTTTACGCGGTAGCGGCAATTCCCAACGTGACTAGTCTGGGCTATGTTCAGGGACATATATAACATGTTTTAACAATTTCTCCACAATTCAACCCAGTTTGTTCCAAATCTGATGTATGCCAGTTAATACAGGTTGAGCATTTTTGAATAAAAACAATTAAAAATGGTAATTGACATCATATTCAGACATACCCTTAATACTGAACAAAGAAATGAAATAATGGACAAATGGTTCGATCACTGTCATGTCACACAAGAACAACGAGTCTCACTGTACAATACAAGAATGCCTTCATTCAATTATTCAAAAACAACTTCATCATTATCTTCATCTTCCTCATCCCCGCTTAGTTCTTCCTGTGGTACCCTCTTCACCACATTTTCGCAGTTTCCTTCACCTCCGAGCATGAATGTCACCCTCTTCGCAGTAGGTATTGTGTGACACTTTGTCATCGTCACCACGCCGTGTCATTGTGACGTCACATCGCACGCTCGTCACTTCATTGTGTCAACATATGAGTCAGAATGACGTATCGTTGTCGATAAAGCAATTACTGAACACGCCATATTTTTCGCGTACAGATATTTACGCGAATTCAGACTTGACGGACAATTTCGCGAGTGGTTAATTTTGCGGTCGGTGAATTATGAATTATTTGGTATGAATCGGTATGAATTATTCGTGTGTTGTTATTTTTGCGGTTGGGAATGCGTTCGCGATTATACCACCGCTATTAAACCACCGCGAAATATACAGCGTGTACAGTAACACAGATTGGAAATTTCGGCGAAGCGGAGTGAAAGGTTTCCACTCTTTATAGCATTGCCGCTAATAGTTTAACGAGTGTTTTATTATATTTTGGCAGAAACTTGTTACGCGCTTGGAGTCGCCCTACAGTGACTGCGTGTATGAGGATGTGGGGAAGTACAGCTATCTCACTTACTTTCCAGAATACAGTTATAGCATGACGGTATATTGATGTATGTGGCATGTTATTTTTAACATATTTTTAGGGTTAGCATATATACTGATAACAAAGGTAATATTATATAGAACCCTAGTATAAGGTGTTTTTGATATTACGTAATGATAACTCTTGCAATTTCCGCTCGGGCATGGGTTTTCATGAGCAAACAAAGAAATACACAATCCAACAAAGAGATAAATACAAAATACATTTATTTATTTGTTATTATATATATATATATATATATATATATATATATATATATATATA